AAGAAATCACCAGTCAACGAAAAGCAGTTGCACCCGACAGAATTAGGCAGTAGTTCCCTAATCCTGTCGGCCAGAAAAAAGACTTCCCTAATTCTAACGCTTCTAACAAATTATACAGAAAAATTCAACTTTATGGAAAAAAGTGTTTTTATCCTGTTTTTCATAATAAATGGAAGGAAGATATTTGAGACATTTTTGTAGAACGAATCAAGCTCTGCCATTATCTAAAGGTTCAAAATGATTGCATTTTTATTTATTAAGATACATGCCTTGAAATGAACGTACCTAGCACTCATGGAAAAAAGGGTGTGGGTGGGTCTGTAGACAAACAGATAGCATTGACCTACGTACACCCACACTACCACTCACACCTCAGACCCACACCGATACTCACACCCACACCAACACCCACGCCCACACCCTTTCTTTTCAATCATAAGATATAAAGTCTCAAATTTATCTCAAAGACAAACATACAGAACTTATACATCGATCCAACACTATATTTAAAAATAAAGCTGATCAATGATAGATTGGACATGTTTTTGTCTTGTATAATATCATAATAGACGAAAGCGAATAAAAAATATTTTCTTCTCAATATGCAGTCAACGACTAAATAGTAAACGAATTTATTTTTTCCAATTTTTCTTTTACATCAAAGGACCTTCATCTCATTCAAATGGTGATATAGGTAGTATAAGATACCAGCTACAAGATTTACCGTAGGAGTTGATCCTGTCTATCTATATAGATGTTTTATAACTCAAATCATTTGCTTTCAATCAAAAATAGGTTTAGATGCTTTTCAGTATTTCACATTTCCTAATCAAGATATTTTTTTTGTAATTATCCGTCAAAATTGCATCCACTATCAACATTAATAGTAAAAAACCTTAATGCATACCAATATACATAGCAAGCTATTACAAATGTGCTTCACGGAATAAGTCAACATATTTATGTTCATTGGATTATGAATACCATGTACGAAAATTCAGGTTAATTAGAACTTTAAGGGTATAGACATCACATTCTTTTTTCTTGATAATAGTGTATGTTTATCTTATTCATAATAGACGATGAAGTTTTTTGAGTGCGTTTCTTCGTCTTAGTAATTATTTTTGTAAGAAGCAAAAAAGTTTTAATTATTAGATTACCTTGCTTGATGCATTGGCAAGATGTCGAAAATCTCTTTGCATATTGATCATACAAATTAGCCTCTTGCTTACTTATTAGCTCTACACATGTATATAGTTTTATTTTCGTACTAGTTCAAATTTAAAAAAAGTCTTTGCATTATACTTGTTCGAATTTTGTTTTTTTTTTCGTAATTTAAAATTCAAATGTAATGATATCGATATAGATTATTGGAAAAATATATATTTTAGCTTTGATACGAAAAATTTCGAAGGGAAAAAAGTATTAAATAAGTTTCATTTTATTGAACAAATTGCTTAATAAACCATGCATAGAAGTTGTAGTTGGTTTTTGGTAAAGCAATTCTTTCTGTTTCTGATGTATTCACATTTAGATAAGATATTCCATTAAAAAATGGTCTAATCATTATATCAGATGCATAATATAAATTATTAGCTATATCAAATGCCGAAAATCGAGTAACTAATAAATTGGTTTGATTAGAAATAGTTACAACTAGTTTTCCAATGCTTCCTGTGATTCTGTCTATTATTCCAATTTGTGATGTCGTTTCATGTGTTCGATTTATATAGGCAGCGTACATTAAAAACGTTTTATAAGTAAATCTGATACTAAGAGGACAAAAATTTAATGGTACTCTCCAACCAATTTCACCACCATCAGTGGTATTGACAGCAACATATATATAATGATCATTTTCCAACATGATAAGAAAATATTTTCTACTAATTGGACAATATGTTGACATATCTGTTGATTTAGCTCCAGATATTTGTCATAGAATATCTATAAAGTTTCCAGTATTTGTATCGATTTCTACAATTTGTGTTAAATTTTTATCATCAGTTTCAGTATGTGCAAATAATTTTTTATTCAATATATCATATTGAAGAGAAATAATTTCATTTGGAATTGAGTCAAATGTATGCAAAAGAATACCAGCTGTAGCATTAATTGCACTCAATACTATTTTGTTTTGATTATTTATAGCTGACATAAATACAATATCATTGGAAGGATCATATGCCGATGGTAAAATTGGATATTTTCTTTTATGAGGATCTCCAACATCATCAACTTTTAATGTGTTTATTATATTGTATTCATATTTATCTATATCAACAAATCCATAATAAAAAATATCATTTTTATCTCGTTCAGCAAATAAAGTATGAATTATATGTTGATCTTCTTGCTTTGATTTACAAATTAATATTATCATTAACAAAATAATAGTGATCAAGAATTTTTTCATTGTTCTTGAATAATTATATATTAAGTTTTGAAAATAGTGCACTGCAAGAGTCAAAGCTTTTTAAAATTCTTAATATTAAATATAGTTTGAAGTTGAAATTGTTTGTTCTATATATATCATCAAGATTTTATCTACTTTTTATTCTGTTTTTTATGTTTGATAACAGACACCTTGAGTCGTCCTTTTATTAAAACAGTTAATGTTTTATTTTACATGAGAATCTAACTTAAATAATCTTTCAAAAACAATATGAGGGTGTGGTTGTTGATTCTCTCTTCGCTCACACCCAAACTCAACTCTGCTGCTACATGAAGAAGTTAACTAATCCGCACTTATATATTGTAATTTAGAACTATCATCATTCGTTGAGATATTTATCGAGTATTTCAAATTGAATATTTTTCTTGAGTTCAGAAAACTGTTTGAACTTCAGCTATCTTATCACATCAAGAGAATTCATTGAGTTGAAACCATGAAAATTTCCAGATAAGTCAATCAGGTTCTATTTTTTTTGAACAGTGAAAAACCTGTGAAATCTTTATCCATGCAATCTATGCAAACTCTCAGATTCCGAGATCGATTGATGTCATAACAGTAGCGAATTCATTCCTTAAGCATAGGCCAACAGAATCGCTACAGTTGAAATAGACAGCAGTTCGAGTTGAGAATTTTCTTCAAAACAGAAAGTTCCTTGTTATTTATAATAAATAATAAAAAAAGTTATTGTTATTAATAACAACAAAATAACAATAACTTCTCACTCCTAATTTGAGTAATTTAGTCCAAAGAAAAGAGTCTATTTCAAGGTAGGATTGTAGTTTGCCGATAAGTGCCGAATAGTACCGGGTCATATACTCGAATTCATCTTTCGTCACCTTATTTTCTCACTCCTGTGTTCTGCTCACTATCTGGACAAAATGAATGAATAAACAAATCGGACTAGATAAGATCAATGTGAGCATGTTTTGGACTAGTCCAAACATAGTTGGAGGCAGTGTTGACAGATCTTCTGAATTTTCCAGAAAAATTTCGAATTTTGCAAGTTTTTCCGGACCTCTTTCAGCTTCCGAATTTTTCGGGTTGTTTCTGAATTGTTTCCAGATCTTCACAAATTTACGATTTTTTCAACAAAAAACCTTATCAAATACACAAGTTGCAGCAGAACAGAAAATAGTGATAATAATGATCGAAAGAAGAAAATAGTGTAGCAAAAGAAATAAGACCTGATCACCTACAGAAAATAACTTTATCTGTTAAATCTACGGGTTCTTCTAATTTACACAAATTCATTTCTCTTTTATTCTCATTCCTTGCAGTAATGTATATGTTCAGAGTGTTTTGTTCGACAGTGACACATCTATACAATAATAAACAAAATCGTATGCCACCAGAACTGATTAGAGCTGAACTAAAAATTCGTTTAAATTCATCTTTATCGTGTGTGCAGAAACTGAAAATTTTCTTTTATCAAAACCAAAATTATTAACACTTATTCATTCTAATGAAAAATATTGTACTAAAAAACAACATGCAAATAAAAGTGACATATGTAATTAATAATCTCTTATTTATTAACTTAACTATGTTTTGATGTGTATTTTCTATTATTTCATTCAAATATATTTTTTGAAGATGAAGAATAACATAGTTAATAATTTGATTACGAAAAAAGGACTTTAAGCGATCGAAACTGACCTTCGAAACTCTTTCCAGATATTCGGATTTCACATCTGGCAACCCTGGTTGAAGGATATTCCTTGTAAAAGCGATCGATTATGACAGGAAGTATGGATATTTCTGACTAATCATTTCGAACATCCTCATTTACTTATTGTCTAGTTAGGTCCAATTAGACATTACTGATTTTCGTTTTGTACATCAACTACATCTTCTTATCAAAAGGCCGAATATACTCGTAAAACTTGCATAGAATAAAAAAATAGTTTTTTCACGCTTTTCTCAGCTAATATCTTGTGTATTCCTGTTTGTACTATAGAACAATGCTATGAAACTGAAAGCAGATCTTTCTTTCAAAAAGAGTTTATTTAGAAATATGCTCTTCATAGCGTTACATCACCGTCTTATCTTCAACGATTTGTGCCTTGTTTTAGTTTTCCGCAAGCACAGAATGGAGCACGAATTAGAACAAATAGAGTCATGCTTAAACCATGTGCAAAATTGTATACCCTTGAATCACAATAACTGTTTTTCTATCGATTGTATTGGCCCAAACCCAAGAAATACCCTGAAAACGAACCAAAGGTGAGTCATGGATTTTGAGGATTGAGACTAGCATTGATACTCACCACCATGCTCCAAGCGAAAGAAAAGAGAACAAACAAAACCACTATAACAACTAGTGAGAATATGCAGATTGTCCGACAGTTATTACTACAAATAGCTTGACAGACAACCTAGAGAAGAATAAATCATCTTGCAGAAGTCATAATAAAGAAAGTCAAGCTGTTTCAGTTAAGGAGGAAAACATGGCTCTAAGATTTCAAGAGGCTTCACAAGCAGAGACTTCAAAATTTTTCAAGACTTCTGTAGACTTCCGACAGTTTCAAGTAACCTCAAAAGACTTCGTAAGATCTCATGGTATTTCATCAGACTTCTTCAAATTTTAGATATTTAAAAGAGTTTTTCGACACTTCGATAGTCAATCATGATTCTCTCAAACTCAGTCGACTTCGCAAGATTCCATAGATTTTAAGGGTGAAGATGATGATGTATAATGTCACACAAAAGTTTGATGCAGTTGCATTCTGCAGTTATCTTCTCAGCGGTAATAAGTAGAAACAATGTGAAAAAAAGAATTTAAAATAGGGATCCACTTTCCAAATACCCTGTAGTTTCCCAACAAAGAATCATGAAGACGTTGGAGACATCTCATTTTGCTCAGAAATCTTTATTTTATCAAGAGTGATTATTTCTCAACAGTGTTTGATCGAAATCAGCAAACTGGATATTGAAGTCTTGATTTTATAAAAGTTCTTGCATAAAAAACCTTCATGAAGACTTTAGTCTAAACGGATCTGATGGAAAACCTTTTCAACTACTCAAATCTTTTTTTTTCCACATTCTTTCGAGCTATTCCCGATAAGGAAATAACTCGAGAATACAACTGTATCAAACTTTGGCCCTGCACTATAAGGCTTTGAGAGTGGGTGGGTGTAGATGAGAAAGCGGACAGTGGTTGCTTGAAACATCCTCATCCTTCATCCTCATTAATTGTTGATGACTCTACATCTCATGTTCTGCACTACCTACTTTTGAAGTACTCTCTACAATATTTGAATTATTCAATGTTCTTATTGATTTTTCTATAAACTGAAAATATTCTAAAAATTTCGAGATATTTCCCAAAACTTTCCTGTATTTCATCAGATTTGAATTGACTTTACAAGGATTCATCGTACTCTTGGAATATTCATGACACCTGATAAGATTTTTATAGATTTGATCAGACTTTCAAAGACGGCTGAACTTCATTAGATTGTAGAAGCGAAGTCCCTGCTCTTTTCCCCTTGGTTTTAGTACAAAACTCAAATTAGATTCAGTTACTTGAGGATTCATTATGTAGTACTGCAAGGCCTTCATGACATCTGATTAGCGAGATACTGCCAGAATTTAAAAATTTGATTGATAAAAAAAAACTTTACCAAAATAGTCATGAGCCAAAAGCAGATGATGCCCACCATACCAAACACAATTAATCAATTGGCTGGTCTTGAATAGTCGGGACACTTAGGAAGGTCATTGACACCCACAATCAGCGCTGCCATAGGAAGACTCGAGATAAAGATTAAGATGAGAGCGGGAATCATAAAGAATATATTATTGGTAAAACGTTGCCACCACGTTCCAGTTATGCGAGACAAGTTTAGATTGGTATTTCGTTGAAATGATTCGGAATTGACGACTCTTTGATTCACAGTGGGTAACTGAATTACCGGTCCTGTGGCATACGGCGGTGGAGGATCCATCGTATCATAGTGAGGGGGAAAACGGATGGCTACATCGTAGGAAGGTAGGTCATCGATCTAAGTTTGGCGAAAAATTTGTGTAAACATTGTCATAAAAGAAACACACATGACACATACCTTCGGATTCATCGCAGTTTTCTTCTATGTGAAAGTAAATGAATGGCGTCAGAGAATGAGCAACGGTATGCGGGCAAAATGAAATGAGTAATCGATTGAAATGGAAAGAAAAATACTTGAAAAATTTTGAAATATTACTCGAAGTTTAGTAGGTAGTATTACTCATTCTCCTTTCTTCTTTTGAAATATCGAGCGAGAAAAGAAACAGTCAAAAAATATTTTTGTTTGTTTTTATTTTGTTGTATTACACACGCGCGAACAGAACAGAAGGTGAGGGTGTAAATGAGTATGAGCTGATGTTGCCACCATTACATTCTATAACTACATCCGAAAAAAATTGGTTTGCTATTGAACTTTAAATGTTTTGCATTTTTGCACCGAACAATTTTTGTTCAAAACTTTTTAATTTCAGCAAATTTTACATAGTTTCGTTATTTTCCAATAAAATTCTTAAAAAGTTTCATAAATCAGATGCGAGTTCCGTGAATCGTGTATTAAAACCAAGGAGAAAAGTGTAGAATCCATGAATCCTCAATTCCTCTGAATTCCAAAGATTCCATAAGATTCCATTGGATTCCATAGAACTCCTCAGGGTTATCAGTAAGCTTCTAAAATTGTCAAAGAATACCATTTGTGCCACAACAGATTTACATACTGGTATTTGGTTTTCCTTTCCATTATCCCCTTCGTTTTTAGTCATCGACATATACATATATCAATGACTCGTTATTTGCGTTTCTTGAGTTGTAGTTTATAGGATCACATTATCTTCGCCAGAAGCGTGGCGACCGAGCCTGGTGTGGCTGCGGCTGTGGGCGTATGTGGTTAAAGACAAAAGCATCACACACACCCACACCCGGAGCCCGATTTTTGAAATTCTCTTTGTTTGCTTTTAAAAAAAAACTTTTTCGAAAGATTCTCAAATTCGTGAGCAAAAAATCGGTAATTAAAATCAAATATTTAAGTTTTTTATTTCAGCAAAAGAGAAATTCAAAAATCAGGCTCTGCTACGATCTAGCCCCAAATGTCTGCTGTATAACAAAAAAATGACCACTTTTATATTGAGTCGTTATTGTGAAGAATTTGCCCGCGTAAACAGCACTGCAAAACTACAGATGTTTTCATACGATGCAAATCCATATTTCTCAGCTAGGGGATCTTCCGCAAAAAACTCATCAGGAAATCAGCTACTCTTCTTCTCTTAACAAAAAAAAATTGCCAATTTAAAATCCATGTCAAGGCTATCAGAATAGGCATCAGTGTCGCCATCGAATTTTTCTCAAAAAATCGACTGTTCTGAGGGGCGGGGGCCTTAATACTTTTTACAAATACAATAAAAGAATTTTTAATTGAAAATAATAAATAAATTGGCCAATTTCTTGAAAAGAAAGCAACATCTACCAATATTTGTTTATAAAACTTGATAAAAAAATACATTTGTGTTTTTAATAAGTATCATCAACTTTTCCTCTTCTTATTGTAAGATTCATAGTTACTATTGAAAAATACTTTCTTTCTTGTATGAGGTGAATGTAACAAACTTGATTTCATTTTTGTCCAATATGTACCAATTTTTAAAGTATTGTTGTTTACTTAAGGTTTGCATCAAAACATGCATAAATACAGCAAGTCGAACTTTTTGACTAAAATATTTATATTTCAAGATTAGATAATTTCTGCAACACATAATGTTCTATATGCTGCCAATCTGAATTAAAAAACAACCATTTAATTTCACACTGAAGCGATGATCGTAAAATTATCTGGCACCGTATAGCATATACATCATATTTTGTCTTTTCATGAATCTCCGAGATCTCGTGGTTTTTCAAGTATATATATATAATTATTATCAATGAATAGCTGATATAAGAATTTTTATGGAAATTTTCATAGACGACAAAACTTGCTTTTTGTTTTTTCTTATAGCAAATGTGTCACAGAACACTGACGATATTTTATGGAAATCCTCTGCATCTGTTTTTATTAATATCTGTACAATGATAAAATCAATCCCCCCAACATTCACACACATACATTGCACAGTTTTTAAAAGAAAAAAATAAAATAAAATCTTCATAATGTATTGATTTCGCCCGTTATATTGATACGTCGATTTTGACATTTTTTCACCGAAATTTCCTTTGCTACCTTAAAAAAAAGTTCCATAAAATCTTGTAATTATTTTTCAAAACAAAATATGTAACCTGTTCTTTAAATTGTTTTGTATATGAAATTAATACATCTAATTTCTCTTTTAATTGTTGTTCTTCTTTTAAAGAATTTGATGCTTTTTCTTCTAATTCTTTTTGTTGTAAATGATTACGTTCAATAGCAATTTTCTTTTGTTGAAAACAGTTTATAAGATGATCAACAAATTTATACGAATCACGCATTGAAAATAAACGATCTAACTGTCGATTGGCAATAGATGTAAATATTGAATCAACATTTTTTAAAAATGTTTTTAAATCTTAAATAAAAAAATAAAACTTCATGTTTTCAAAAATATCTTTTTTTTTAACCATTTTCATTTATTTTTTGTGTTGATGCTGAAGCATTTTGCATAATAAAGGTCATCAGAATAGTTTCATTGACATGATATTCATTAAGACGTTGTTTAAGGAATGATTGAACCTTAAAAGAAGAAAATGAATTTATTTATTATTTCAAAAAGGGTGTGGGTGGGGTGTGGATAGATTGAGAACACCCACACCCACATTCACACCCACCCACCCACACCCACACCCCACACCCACCCACACCCTCACACCCAAATCCACACCGCACACCCAGCCACACTCGCACCCATCCCTTTCTCACACCCACACCCTTAGAGGTTTTAGATGATACCGATTAAGATGAGAATATCAAATCAAAAAATAAAATTTTGACGAATGCTTCGATATCTAGTATAGTCCTCGATAGTCTCATGGATCCTCTCTTTATATCTACACGTTTATTAACCGTGTATGTTTTATTGCGAAAAAGAACTTCATACATAGTCTACGTTTGACTTGATTCCCTACCTCATCTGAGGTATTTCTGAATTTTTTTACTCAGTAAAATCGATCGTATCTGATAGATCGTGTAAGGGTTTGAGGACACATATGTTAGATATAAAACTATATACATCCTTTGTGAAAAGGTTCTATATTTGTCTTTCTCTTTTTCCATCTACCTTATTTATTGACATATAGTATTTGTAGAAAAAACAGAAAAAAAATGTGTAAAAAAAGAGACCGGAAGGTTAGTAAATTGTTCAATGTGTTGGTGTTCTCTGAACGTGATTCTTAATGTTAGGATTAATTTCAATGCAAGCAAACTAATGAGACAGAAAAATGCTTGAGCTGACTTTAGTTGCTATTTGTGCTTCAATGTTACTTCGGATGACTCTTTTTTACTGGCTAACCGTACTGTCAATAGGTACAAATAGCCATCAATTTAATGTCCATTTTACGGATCGGCGATATAAGTTCAATTTATTGCGTGATTGCTTATATTACAATGATGCTGATCATTTATCGGACTTCGAACATGGCTGGCTTGAATTGTCGCAAATAATTCCATTTTGTATTCGTTCTGAGTCAGATGAAACATTGACTTTTGTTCCATCGAATATAAACGGTACGATTTACACATTCGGCGAACTTCGTCTAAAGCAGATAACTAGTGAACAATTGTATGATTGGTCTGCCCCAATTGATGTGCCTGAACGTTATCAGATGTATTTGGATAATCCGAACGAATTATTATCGAGTGAAACATTTAACAATTGTACTAATTACTGGTTTGGACAGTTTTGTGAATTTCATTTCGATGAAGATCCATCTCTAAAGGAAATTGTCAAAGTTTCTTTTTTTTCTAAGACTAATCAAATAACACATGTATTTGAAGTGACAAATCACAGTTGTTACATTCATTTAAATTGTTCTATTGGTCCAGAACCGCTTTGTCTTGATTGGCGTGATATTTGTGATGAAAAAACAGATTGTATGAATGACAATGCCGACTAAAGTGGTTGCGTTGAACTGGAGATGAACATATGCGGCGAAGACGAGTTCCAGTGCCACAATGGACAATGCATTCCCATGGAATTCTTTTCTAATGATCTGATTAATCCAGATTGTCTGGATGGTAGTGATGAACGGGGTAGATTTATATGCTCCATTGATCCGACTATGAGATGTGAAGATCGTTCCAGCAGACTTGGTTATATTCCGTATGAGCGTGCTTTTACTTTCAACTGTGGTGATGGTATGCCTTTATCTATTGGAAGCAGTGGTAGTTGTGAAAATCGGCGAAATTTTCTATTTTTTCAAGCAATGTTTTCGAAATTAAGCAATCCTTTATTAACTATCGAATGTTGGTCAGCAATGATTCATTATTTTAAAATCAATGATGACATAGGTATTTCAACGAACAAATGGTCTCCTTGCTATAAAGTCGATAATCGTTGTACTCAATTTATTTTTGCCAACTGCCCGTCCTTATTCGTTTTTCCCACTTTGCCTGCTTTGTTTGGCCACGTCTATCTATACTTTTATCATAATCAATCTATTGGCAAGCCACTAGTAGATATCAGTCTTGCTAAATCAATGTACGTATGTTACAACGATCAATTGTGCCCATTTATGCCATGGATAATTAAAATCAATGGATCGACTTGTAGGCCATTCAATGAATTGGGTAAGAAATCGAATTGGTTTGATATCATTAAAGATCTTGCTAATATTTTTTCGTCATGCTCTATCAATGGTATTAGTGAGAAACATTGTAAAAATGACGGATTCTTTCAATGTGAAAATTCAGGCAAATGCATTTCTAACAAACGATTAGCTGACGGTATTGTCGATTGCTTTGATGGGAGTGATGAATGAACCAACTATTCTTGCACTGTAAATGGTGATCTACGATTCGCTTATACTTCAGAAGACCAATGTATTTCTCACCTAATTAAGGAGGGGATAATATATTGGGTTGTTTGAATGATGAAAACGAAGAGTCACTTGACGAGTTGACAGAAAATGAATCCGTTTCTTTTACAGCAATGTGTGATGGTTTCATTGAGATCAATCTCGCTGAATATCTACAAAATCATTCTACAGAATCGGATGAGACAAATTGTGATGAATGCCCATGTAGTAATATATACACTCGATGTAATGGATTTTGGAACTGCAAGAACGGTAGCGATGAACTCAATTGTTCAAAGGACGGGGGACGTTTTCCTGGGATTTTGGCCCACTGTGAAAATAAAGGTTGTTCCGAGTGAAACTTCCAGCAAATACTCAGCTATATACCAGTAGCCACCACACAAAATTTCAACTTGCTACGTTGAACTTTTCCTTTACTTTCACCACACCCTAAATGTACATATAAATACCCTATAGGGGTTACCTTGTGAACCCTCGTTCTCGACTATACGATTCAGAACTGGAGTGATTTTTCTAGGATCACTAGGAATAAGTGAGGGCTACAATATTGCAAGGACATGAGGTTCAGAAAGAAACTGTCTTTGTATCCATTTGAAGTACACAGTGCCAAAAATCCTTGAAAAATCCCTGTAGAGGTAATCCTGCTGACCTTCGTTCTCCACTATACAATTCAGAACCGGAGCCATTTTTTCAGGATCACTAGGAATAAGTGAGGGCTACAATATTGCAACGGCATGAGGTCCAGAAAAAACCTGTCTTCGTATCCATTTGAAGTGCACAGTGCCAAATATCCATGAAAAATCCCTATAGAGGTAACCTTGTTGACCTTCGTTCTCGACTATACAATTCAGAACCGGAGCCATTTTTTCAGGATCACTAGGAATAAGTGAGGGCTACATTACTGCAAGGACATAAGGTCCAGAAAAAAACGGTCTTTGTATCGATTTGAAGTACACAGTGCCAACAATCCTTGAAAAATCCCTGTAGAGGTAACCTTGTTGACCTTCGTTCTCGACTATACAATTCAGAACCGGTGTGATTTTTTTAGGGTCACCAGGAATAAGTGAGGGATACAATATTCCAAGGACAGAAGGTCCACAAATAATCCACCTTGGTATGGATTTAAAGTACATAGTGCCAAAAATCCATGAAAAAGCTACATAGAGGCTACCTTGTTGACCTTCGTTCTCCAGTATACGATTCAGAACCAGAGGGATTTGTCTAGGATGGCTAATAATCAGACAGGACTACGGTATCCCATACACTTCAACCTGAATAAAAACTGCCGGAATAACACTTTGGTGTACAGAAGGTTCAAAAGCAGTAGTCCAAATTATGATGGAGGGAATGTCGGATACGTTTTACTCTTAATATTGGAGTCACGCTTCTGAATACTTGTGTACTATCCGTGCGGATATTAAGAACGTTCAACACTGTATATCACTAACTAGGAGAGCTATGTAGATGTCAACTGTGCAATGCGGGATGTGTTAAGTTATCAATAAGTTGGGTTCGTTAGTGTCATCGAGTGATTATCAATCGTAGTAGAGTACGTGGGAGTTGAAATATCTAATTCGTTTATCTGGTATGGAACTTAAGATGTGCTTTTATCAAGCCACTTTCTAGATAACATTTCTTTAGATCGTGATCCTGCTGGTGAATGGAGGGATAAGAGAAGATGACTAGGAACAACAATACGTGGTTCCGCTGTCTGGATGGCAGTGGATCAGTGGGCAGGTCGTATTCTTCACTAGGGCAACATTAATTCGACACCCATACCCATCCGTAAGGAACTTTTTCATGAATATCCAACGCTCTGCACCCTATTGCCATACCAGGGCCGCTTCTGCTACATCTTGCATATGTGGCAGATTGTAGCCGCGACTGATTCTCACTGACTCTAGCAACACAACTTTTGATGCAAATCGTGTATTGGAGAAAGAAGGTGAACAAGGTTGCCTCTATGCGGCTTTTTCATGGATTTTTGGCACTGTGTGCTTCAAATCGATACTAAGACAGGTTTTTTCTGGACCTCATGTCCTTGCAATATTGTAGCTCTCACTTATTCCTAGTGATCCTGAAAAAATGGCTCCGGTTCTGAATTGTATAGTGGAGAACGAAGGTCAACAGGCTTACCTCTATAGGGATTTTTCAAGGATTTTTGGCACTGTGTACTTCAAATGGATACAAAGACAGTTTCTTTCTGAACCTCATGTCCTTGCAATATTGTAGCCCTCACTTATTCCTAGTGATCCTAGAAAAATCACTCCAGTTCTGAATCGTATAGTCGAGAACGAGGGTTCACAAGGTAACCCCTATAGGGTATTTATATGTACATTTAGGGTGTGGTGAAAGTAAAGGAAAAGTTCAACGTAGCAAGTTGAAATTTTGTGTGGTGGCTACTGGTATATAGCTGAGTATTTGCTGGAAGTTTCACTCGGAACAACCTTTATTTTCACAGTGGGTCAAAATCCCAGGAAAACGTCCCCCGTTCTTCATCTAGTGTATGTACAGCAAATGAGTTCAGTTGTGTATCGCCTGAAACACTCGAATTGATTTGTTTGCCTGCCATCTATGCTGGCGATGGACACGTTGATTGTCTTGGCGGGTTGGATGAACGTTTCTTTTGTCGTAGTTATGTTCCTGAAGATTCCGTTATAAGATATCGTTGTTGGAATAGCACGGAATGTATTGATACTGATTACATTTGTCTATATACAGATTCGTGTCCAAATGAAGATGATACAAAACTTTGTGATAGTGTAGATATACCATTTGGTATATGCACTGAGTACATGTGTAATTCGACACTCGAACGCGATCCGAACCATAAATTTCTCTGTGAACTAGAAGAAAGTTTCAAACCAAAGACAGTATACTTTGCTTTGACCGTACATGGACACCGTTCAACTCCACATAAAACAGAATCGTCTATAGAAAATGTTGATTCTCTATCGTTTCAAAACTATAAGACAGGAAGTGTAGACGTCTCTTGGTTGTGCAATCGGGGATTATTCGTCTGGCGTTGGACTGGAGACGAACTCAGTCGCTATTGCTTTTGTCCACCTGCCTACTATGATCATCGATGCCAATTTCAAAGTCAACGTATAAGCCTTTCCTATCGTGTCTACACAATCGAATGGCGCACGGTATTCAATTTGGTAATCATATTAATAGATAACAGCTCCCAAATCCATTCGTACGAACAGCGTATTTATCTCAGTGTTCGAGATTGTAATGTTCAATTCGGTGTTAATTT